TGTTGTAAAGAGGCTAGAAATGAGATCTCAATGGAGAACTGAAGCTTATATACCCAGCAGCCGTGAGTCCTCTGCCAGGTCATGTTTAGAGAAAAACCGAGAAAGTCGCCGGTCTCTAGTTCCGTTGCTGGAGTTCACGGTGACGCACGCTCGTTTAGTTTGCTAAGGAAGGCGTCGCGGGTGGGATGCAGCTCTCGCGGTTAAATGAGAGACGATCACCAATACTCCCCTTCCCTCCAAAACGATTATGAGAACTTGTTGTCTGTAGAGTTGCTTAGCACATGTGAACTGAACCGGGCGGTGCATGTGCCTCATGTGAGACAACGGCGATGGGGTGAATAAGGCGATGGCTGAAATACAACTGTCTAGATACACACACTATCTGTGGGAGAAGGGAGAAAATGGAGTGTGTGGAGGCGATGAATGTTGTGTGCTTCCTCCGACAGGCACAGGGTCGTCAGATGCGCCTGCTGAAAGTGTGTGTGGGCTGGAGTCAGGGCAGGGGCTGCGTCAGCCTTGGCGGATTAGGGCTCGTGACAGCAGCTGGGTCCTGACAGCAGCAGGGTGCAGGACATTGGCAGGGAGTACCTGGGGAGAAAAGAAGGGGTGTGTGGAGCGATGAATGTTGTGCTTCCCTCACGGCAGGTACCCAGGGTCGTCAGATGCCTGCGCCTGCTGGGGTGTGTGGGCCTGGGTCAGGAGCAGGGGCTGCAGGCAGAAAGTGGATTAGGGGCGTGACAGCAAGCTGGGTCCACGACAGCAGCAAGTGCTGGGTTTGATAGCAGAGGAGTACCTGAGGGAAAAGAGGGGTGTGTGTGGGTCCACACTCAGGAACAGGAGGCCACGTCAGGGCGGCAGGGGGGGGGTTACTGCTGGGCGGGGTCGGCGTCTGAGGCAGGACGGGTGTGCTGGAGTCGTCAGGATGTGGTGCTTGGAGCTGGGGAAGAGGGCTGGTGTCTGCTTAGAGTAACAGAGCTGCTTCTGTGGATACGCCATTCTTCTATGCTGCTTGAAGACTGGGAGCGTGATCCAGTGTCTCCTCCATCTGTGTGATGCTAATCTCCAGGAGTCACCATTTGTAGGAATTCGTGAGTATAATGTTGTCTAGCACTCCCGATGGATCAAACTCTGGGTGGTTTTCTTGTATAATATAAGTTATATGATAAGACAGTCTGGTGCTGGAGGTGCCGTGTGGTGAGAGCTGCTCGAGTAGAGGCGTTCGGTGAGTAAGCGTGTTGAAGGAGGTAGATGTGCAGGAGCTTGGTTAGAAGATGTTGCCTGTTTGTTGTCTCCTGGTTGAATGAATGCTGACAGCGTGGGCTTGCTGGAGAGGTGTTGCTTGTTCAAGAAGAGACCAGAGATAGAGGCTGGTGAACTCAGAGAAAGGACAGCTGGTGGGTCGCCATGCTACGCTGGCAGGAGCGAGACCGCCAGGCAGGCGGAGGAGAGGCAGGCCGCCAGGCAGGGGCGGAGGAGGAAGGTGTTGCATGTTTGTGAAAGAGGCTAGAATGAATCTCAATGGAGAGACAGAGCTTATATACCCAGCAGCAGTGAGTCCTCTATGAGTCATGTTGGGAAAACCGAAAGTCACTTGTCTGGATTCCGTCAGCTAGGTTACCGTGACGCCGCTCGTTTGGTTGCTAAGGAAGACGTACAGGTGGGATGCAGCTACGCAGTTTGTAGGGGAGACGTCCATTACAGGGTCGTTTAACGATGCAGATGGTCGTTAGAGAACAAAGAATGCTGGTTACAATACAAAATGGGTTTGAACAAATAATAACAGTTAAAACCTTAACAGCACAGGGTTAAGGTGACTAGATTATATAATAGTAAATACTACACATCATTACAGGAATAATATGGAACATGGAAGCAGTTATATATAAAAATAGAAAACTACGACACGGTCGTAAATAAATATATATATATATATATATATATATATATATATATATATATATATATATATATATATATATATATATATATATATATATATGTGTGTGTGTGTGTGTGTGTGATGACTTCCCTCTGCATAGCAACCCCCTAGGGATGGCTCTTAGTTTACAGTAGACACAGTAATATCCATTCTGTGAAAATATCAGAGGTATTAACCAGTATTAATATTTAGTGAAGTACACTACGGTAAACCCTCCAGTTAGCGGATATCAATCTAACGGGTATATTCCGTTATATGGAGGGTTCACATCTAAAGATACTCTATATAATGAATGTACTCTCCTATATGGCCTATTACGTGGCGCTTTTCTCTCTGTGATCTGCCGGCCGCCACCCTCGCTGCCAGCCCAGTACGTAGTGACGCGTGGGTAGTTTTACTTATGCAAAATCGACCATATTGACACTTCTAGAGGTGTTTTCCATATCCTTTTGTGAATAAAACTCATTTGACCCAAGTGGCGCTCTGTCCACTTTGGTCGTAAGCACCTCATATATGGCAGCCCTTCACAGTTACAAATTAGATATATAATGAGTCTTCCTATAGCCTTTGTTGCTCCATTTTCTTCAATTAACCTACTGTAAGTATCGCTGTCGAAAATAACTTTACTTATTTATAGAATAACGTTTTGAATTTGTATGTGGAAAAATATTTATTCTGATGCTCTTCCCCCTGGTAAGGTGAGGTGGATATGTGTGGTGTTTACAGGCCTGTCGGATTACTACACGGTGGTGGGTCCTTCCCTGCTGACTGGAACACTTGATAAGTTTTGTCTTTCTCCTGCTGAAGTTTTAACGAAGGGGGATATCCGTTTCGTGCCTCTCTCTCTCCATATATATATATATATATATATATATATATATATATATATATATATATATATATATATATATATATATATATATATATATATATATTATATATATATATATATATTAATATATATATATATATATATATATATATATTAATATATATATATATATATATATATATAAATATATATATATATATATATATTATATATATATATCTTGATAAAATCACACGGGAAAATGGAAACAACGGGTACCTTAGCTTTCGTCTTTATTCAAGACATCTTCAGAGGCAACTAGATTACATGTGGACAGAGGCTTAAATATACAGGGTGACCTAAAAACATGAGGTCAGGTCATAATGATGACATCCACTAATCCCCACACCAACACAACCGTAGGAGCTTAAAGAGAAGGGTGGTGACGTGACTAGACAGGTCAGGTCAGAAAAAAGGACCCACAAAATAACTGTCATACATCAAGATCAAAGGTTTTCAAAGCAGTTTAACCTTGGGCCACTGACAAATAAATTTATGTAACATATTATCAGTTTTGAACTGACCATCACTAAGGTTTATTGATTTTAATTCTTAATCAAACTAGCTTCAACCAGAAGTCTTTCTGTGACACAAGATGATTTGAATACTTCTGTATATTTAAGCCTCTCTCTGTCCATGTAATCTAGTTGCCTCTGAAGATGTCTTGAATAAAGACGAAAGCTAAGGTACTCCGTTGTTTCCATTTTCCCGTGTGATTTTATCAAGATTTATCTTATCCACGTTTTCATTGTGGATTTACATGAAATATATATATATATATATATATATATATATATATATATATATATATATATATATATATATATATATATATATATATATATATATATATATATATATTATATATATATATATATATATATATATATATATATATATATATATATATATATATATATATATATATATATATATTATATATATATATATATATATATATATATATATATATATATATATTTATATATATATTGATAAAATCACACAGGAAAAGAAACAAAGCACCTTAGCTTTCGTCTTTATTCAAGATATCTTTAGAGGCCTCTGAAGATGTCTTGAATAAGACAACTAGGTCTCGTTTCTGTGATTTATCAAGACTATCTTATCCACGTTTTCATTGGATCTACATGAAATATATATATATATATATATATATATATATATATATATATATATATATATATATATATATATATATATATACAAGGAAAAGAAAATTCCCGCCTTTCGTGTAATTCACATCAGGGGTAGTACTGACTCACCCTGAAGATGTGTGCAACTTGCACCTACAGTGATTTACTTGCATATATATATATATATATATATATATATATATATATATATATATATATATATATATATATATATATATATATATATATATATATATATATATATTGGGGATTTTGAATATAGTTAAAAGTCTACCCAGATCCCAACAGGCAACAAAAAAAAACAAAGACAATCGGACTATAAAAGGGTAGACAAGGATGGGAGTTTTGTTGTGTATAATAAAGTACCATAAATTCCTTAACAAAATATTCAGCTTTCTATAATTTACCCTAACCATACTTAACCTAAACTGTAACAGTATATACATATTTATACAACATACAACAATTTGAAGCAAGTGGACGTGGGGCAATATAAGATTACAAATACTTAAGTGAGGAGCTGAGATGGCTGATGAGTAAGGCTGAGTATTGTTGAAGACGGTAGGTAGTCACTGTGCCGTAGGTTTCAGGATAGGTGATCCTGTGGTCACTTCCCAGAGTGAACTGCCTCATCGAACTGGAGCTGATGAAGAAGACTTGTAGGAGGTGACGCAACAACCAGGATATGGAGAAGGAAACCCCGGAGTGGTAACTAAGACTAGTCATACTGTCCCTAGATGGCGTGCTCGTCGGTGCTGGGTAGGTAGATCAGACAATAGATGGCGTGGTTCGTAACAATATATATATATATATATATATATATATATATATATATATATATATATATATATATATATATATATATATAATTTTTTTTTTCTATTTAATATAGCAGGCTTCGTGTTTGATAAACATATCGTAAAACCTGCTCAAAATGTTTCTCTCTGGCTACCTTTGTGTCTTAACGAGGGCGCCCTGACGATCCCTCCCTGACGAGGCTAATTCAGATCCCGCCTCAATAAAATAATGATTGGTGAACATGAGAGACACTTGTTTGTGACGATGGTGAAGGTGTGACGCTGTGACAGTGGCGAGGGCGTGATGGTGAAGGTGTGACGATGTGACAGTGGCGAGGGCGTGATGGTAAAGGTGTGACGATGTGACAGTACAGGGCGTGATGGTGAAGACGATGTGACAGTGGCGAGGACGTGATGGTGAAGGTGTGACGATATGGCAGTGGCGAGGGCGTGATGGTGAAGGTGTGACGGTGTGACAGTGGCGAGGGCGTGATGGTGAAGGTGTGACGGTGACAGTGGCGAGGGCGTGATGGTGAAGGTGTGACGGTGTGGCAGTGGCGAGGGCGTGATGGTGAAGGTGTGACGGTGTGACAGTGGCGAGGGCGTGATGGTGAAGGTATGACGATGTGACAGTGGCGAGGGCGTGATGGTGAAAGGGATGATGTGACAGTGGCGAGGGCGTGATGGTGAAGGTGTGACGGTGTGACAGTGGCGAGGGCGTGATGGTGAAGGTGTGACGATGTGACAGTGGCGAGGGCGTGATGGTGAAGGTGTGACGATGTGACAGTGCGAGGGCGTGATGGTGAAGGATGATGTGACAGTGGCGAGGGCGTGATGGTGAAGGTGTGGCGGTATAACAGTGGCGAGGGCGTGATGGTGAAGGAGTGACGGTATGACAGTGGCGAGGGCGTGATGGTGAAGGTGTGACGGTGTGTCAGTGGCGAGGGCGTGATGGTGAAGGTGTGACGATGTGACAGTGGCGAGGGCGTGATGGTGAAGGTGTGACGGTATGACAGTGGCGAGAGCGTGATGGTGAAGTTGTGAATATGTGACGATGGTGAGAGTGTATTGGTGTGACGGTTTTGTGATGGTATGATGGTGTGACGATGTGACATTGTGATGGTAGTGGGATTTGTAACAGTGGTAAAGTTGTGATGATTTGAGGATGAAATGGTGTGACGGTGATCAGTGTAACGGTACTAAGGTTGTGATGGTGTGGGTGTATAACAAACTGTAGCACCACGTATAATAAACCTCTAATATGATGACCATAGTTCTCTTTCACGGACAGTAATCTCAGCGAGTGACTCTCCCTCTGACAGTTAGCTGTGTTGCCTTCAGAAATAAAACGGGTCAGGGGAAAGCCATAGTTTTTTTTTGTGATTGTAAATAAAAACTTTTTCCAATACCCTTGAACAGAACGAGTCGGATTTTTTCATTTGAAATCGTACTTGAATTCAACTTTATCTAAATCTCGTTGTGTTGATCGTGACTGATCTGCTTACAATAATATTATAGTTAAAGGAACTTATTTTTGTAGGTATGAACTCAAATGTTTTGTTGATGAAACACTAAAATACATAAATACGAAATACATAATTCATAAATACATACTGTAGATACATAAATACATTAATACGGAAACCTGAATTTAAAACTCCGCCAAGACACAAATACACACATACACAAATATTAGAAACAAAGGAAAAGAACAAGTGGATTACACCGAGGCTATCCAGGGTATGGTTGGAGGACAGTGTAGTGCAGGAATACTGTTGGGTATTTGATATGTCTCATTAGAATTACTTTCTATAATTTGTCTTACTTTTAACACCTGAAGTCTTTCTGGTAATATCAAATTGCTAATTTTGAGTGACATCTGTAACATTTTAAACGTTATTTTTATTTCGATTTTATAATGTAATAATTGCAGTTAGGAACAGCTTGTTCATTCGTTTACCACATACAAACATACTCATAATTATTCGAATGCGACACCCGTCAAGTACACGACATTGTTCACAAATCATGAACATGAAACATTCTTGAGCAATCAGAGTCCCAAACGAACTTAGTAATTTGATTCAAACATACTTTACATCCTAGATCGTTAATGCCATTCCCGTGCTGGATGTAAGTTAACCGATACCTTTAGTAAATGACTGGGCTAAGGCGAAGAGATGTTACAAGTAATTCTAAGACTAAAATACGTTAAGGTCAATAATTCAACTTATTTAGACGATGTGAACGTGATGTATCCATTCCTGCAGAGATAAATCTAATTTTACAGTAATTTACAACACTACAAGCAATATTCTTCTCCCAGTTATTGAAGATAAAACCCTAAATCATGATAGTGCTAGAACAAGACAGTAAAGCACTAGGGACTGTTTACAAGATAACTTGAAAGTGGAATGTGTTGAAACTTTCGAATACTTGGAATCCTCGTAAGCGGTCAGATGTATTCGACCGAGAAATATTAGCAAAAATTACGGGAGGCAGTAAGTGCTCGCTCCTCCATTACTTTACCACAAATGGGGCGACAAGTAACGAGAGCAGTAATTAAAATAATTGTACAGAATAGTGAATAATAATTTTTAACCATGAGACTGGAACGAAGGCTGCTAAAGTTTTATCATAACACTTTAAAACGAATTGCTGTCACTATTGTGGAGGAGACATAACTACAAATTACCGAAGTAACAAACCGGCCACTCATATCGGAAGTCAGAATATCACACAGACTACGATGGATCGGTCATGTAGCATGACTGGAAGAGAAGAGAATCCCGAGGAAAATTCTCAGTGAAGAAGTTGAAGAATCACCGGGTATAGTCCAGGAGTAAGACCCACAAAAGGGCCTTAGTTTTCGTGTAGGTCGGGTGAACAGGGTAATATTTGTCTGCATAGCTAAAACTAAGCTTTTGGGTGTGGAAATCGTAAAACCATGTGATGCCATTGTCAAAAATGCGTGCGAGCTGCACACGCGCCATTTTCCAAAATGGCCGACATTTCATTGTAAGTTAGCATCTCTGGAACTATGCGACTTAAGATGATGATTATGGTGTCAAACTATATGTTTTTCGGATCAAGGAATCTGATAAATATAAATTCCAGTCAATTAGACAAATACTAACACAGTTTTCATGTAATGCTGAAAAAATCACTAAGGTGCATGGGATATGTATAAATCAGCTGCAGCCCACCTCTTGCCACTTTTGTTCATCACTATTCGTTCCAACTATACCAAATACATGTCAGTACTTCTCTTACAGCTTCAACGAATACCACCTGAAATTCTTGAGGCCTTTAGAAGGGGACATTTTGTAAGCAAGTTTTCACGGTGGAAGTTTAATTCTGTTTGGATGGATTACACGATTGAGGCCACACAGAACAAAGCCCTTAAAGGAGCAGGTGGAATAATTGGTTCGTAAGTAGACCAATAACAGCACAGTACTCAGAACAAACCCGTAAGAATGTAGCTGGATGTACAGAGAAAGATGGGTTCTACCACACCACCTTGACGCCCAGGCAGCGAAACGTTGGGATGAAGATGTCAACAAGATGAGTGAGATGCTTAATGGGTCGTACAGTGACCCCTTAGATATATCAGATCCGCCTACTCAGCTCGTGAACATTGCTGATGGTGCTGCTGCACCTTATGATATTAAAAATTCCATGCTGACTGCTATGCCAACGGGTACCATTCTTGATGAAAAGTTCATAGATGAATGAATTGTATCTAAATAAGGTAGAAAGAAGAGGTTTATGATACTTTACCTCGTTCAGGGTTGAAAACAATGACTGATGTGAAGAAAACTGTAAAATTAAATAGTAAAAATTTATTAATTAATGCTGAAATAATGTACCTGAGACTGCTAGCAGTGAAGAGTAATAACCACGTTCCTCTTCAACGTGTCCTTTCATATGAAAATTCACCAGTGCCCGTAAATCTCTTTACGGAAGATGGGTACTTGATCTCTGGTAAAAAAATCTAACTTTATGCACAAGCTTGAGGAACTGGTTCCAGGTGAGAAGGTGTAGCCATATAAATATATGTGTTGCAGCTATATTTGATGGGCATGCAGTGAATCAGATGCCAACACCTTCCGCATCAAATAATAACATCACATTTCGAGAAATTGCCAAACGTTTCCTGAAGTATATCTTGCAGACGCTTGGAAACATGTGACCCCCTGAAGAAACTGAGATTCATGTCATAATTACTTTACAAGTATTTGGAATTTACTGTAAAAAATTATACCAGGAGGAAACGTGGTGATGTGCAAGGTGGAATAGTGGACCACATCCAACCAGATGTTGCTATCCATCCTAACTGTAAAAAGTTTCTAGCGACAGGTAAAAACAAGGCAAATTTAGCAAAATACTACACAAAGTATATGATGGAAAATAAAAGTTACATGTTGGCTGAAAATCAGGCTCTGTATGTCAGCAAAGCAATTGAAGCTTTAAAGTCAAATCACGAAGGGGCAGACACTAGAATATGTGTACATGTGAGATATGCTGCTGAGAATGGCGCCAACAATATTGTTGTAAGTAGCCCAGACACCGATGTTCTTGTGTTGCCTGTACATCGCCGGTCTACCATCAGTGCCAGTGAAATATTTCTTCTTACTGGAAGAGAAGGAAAGCATGCCAGTCTTACTCGATATATAGCCATCCATCTAATGCATGACAAGCTATCAAATACACACACAAAAACACTTTGCTGTCAGTCTATTGTTTGGCTGGTTGTGATACTGTCAGCTCTTTATTGGAACACTGATGGAAAAGAACAACAATTTCCAGGATTTATCCAACTTAGGGAAAAGCATGCCACTACAAAAATATGAAAAACTGGCTGCAACTACATTCATTGGAAGTCATTATGGTATATCAAACTACAAGTCTTTGAATGCGCTAAGATGTGAAATGGTACACCGAAAAAATATACCTGCTAAGAAACCACCAACCTACATCTCCTGCGGTGTATCTATCAACTCAGAATATGGCGAGAAGCTGTCATACCAATACACGAGACGACATTAGACGGAAAATCTGAGGTATCTAAGCTGATGAGCCAGCCTCCAGCTGCACTAGAATTGTTGAATAACCTTGTATGTAACTGCTCTCCTAAATCTTGTACTCTGCATTGCACAACCATGCACAACAGCATGTAATTTTGAGACATTATGTGTTAGTGATCAAGAGGATATTTTTGTGTATGGAAATCCTCTAACAAATGCTGCGTTCTGTGATAGCGACTCAGGCAGTTAATCAGAGGATTTATAAAGTAATGCTTATTTATATGTATGTCTTAAATATAGGAAGGCATACGTTTTGTCATGTACTAGTCATTTCAATATCTTGTTCCATATGCATAAACATGGGCTCAGAATAGCTTTATCAGATTCCTTGACCCCCAAAACATATAGTTTCTTAAATGCTGACTTACGATGGAACGTCGGCCATTTTGGAAAATAGCGCCGCATGCAACACGCACACATTTTTGACAATAGCATCACATGGTTTCATGATCTCCACACCCTGTTGACCAGGGTACTCCTCTCTTTTTTTACCTCTGCTACTGGACTATAGGTCAAGAGGCAGTGTGACTATCGGAGTAGCGACGAATAGATTCATAATATTATCAAACCTTATTTAACCTAATCTAACTTATCCTAACCTAACCTTACTTAACCTACAGTACATTAGGAATAATTTGGTTACTTCATGATGGCGAGCGATGTCTTACATGAAGCAGATAAAAACAAATTCATATATAAATTAATTTCCATTATGTTATAACAATAAAAACAAAACAAAATTCCTATCTGACAAAAATTTCATTTGCTTTTTTAAAGCTTTAACGGCGATTATCCTTATAAGGGTAACTTTTTCTTATTTTGTGTAAGGTAATAACTGTTCTGCATCTTTTATTAAGACGTTTAACTTCATAAAAGAACCAATTTATACCTAAATTAGGTTAGCTTAGGTTAGGTTAGGTTCGTGAAATGAATGATTATGCAATTTTACTGTAGCATTGTATATATATTTAATTCAAATTTTCGAGGCTTCCCATAAAAGCAGTCACTTCAAAGTTCGTAAAACACTT